GCCATGAAATTCACAATTTCTGAAAAGGCAGCCATGCTCATCATATCTATGTTCTTAGTTAGTTTATTTAATATCCAGGAGCAGAGAAGAAGATTTTCAAAGAATTAATGCATTTTCACTATATAGTCAATAGAGCCCCCCCCCCCCTTACACCAGAACCCCTGACCCTGGGGCCATGAAATTCACAATTTCGGAAGAGGCACTCTTGCTCATCATAACTATGTACTTTGTTACTTTATTTAATACCAAGGAGCAGAGAAGAAGATTTTCAAAGAATTAATGCATTTCACTATTTCATCAATAGAGCCCCCCCCCCCCCAACACCAGAACCCCTGACCCTGGGGCCATGAAATTCACAATTTTGGAAGAGGCACTCTTGCTCATCTAAACTATGTACTTTGTTACTTTATTTAATACCCAGAAGCAGAGAAGAAGATTTTAAAAGAATTAATGCATTTTCACTATATAATCAATAGAGCCCTGCCCTAACATCAGAACCCATGACCCTGGGGCCATGAAATTCACAATTTTGGAAGAGGCACTCTTGCTCATCATAACTTTATACTTGGTTTGTTTTTTAATACCCAGGAACAGAAAAGAAGATTTTCAAAGAATTAATGCATTTTCACTATATAATCAATAGAGCCCCGCCCTAACACCAGAACCCCTGACCCTGGGGCCATGAAATTCACAATTTCGGAAGAGGCATTCTTGCTCTTCATAACTATGTACTTAGTTAGTTTATTTGATACCCAGGAGCAGAGAAGAAGATTTTCAAAGAAATAATGCATTTTCACTATGTGATCTATATAGCCCCACCCTAGCACCAGAACCCCTGACCCTGGGGCCAAGAATTTCACAATTTTGGTAGAGGGCTCAATGCTTATTACAATGATGCCAACAGTTTGACTGCTTGATGTCCAGGAATAAAGAAGAAGATTTTTAAAGATTGCATTAATTTTGGTGGTTTTAGCCCCACCCCTCAGGCCCCAGGGGGGCAGGGACCATGAAATTCACAATTTTTGTTCCCCTTCACCCATAGATGCTATATGCCAAATTTGGTTGAAATTGGTTGAGCGGTTTCAGAGAAGAAGCTGAAAATGTTCAAAAGTTAACGCACGACGCACGTTGACAGACAAAAACGGATAGCAATAGGTCACCTGAGTCACTCAGGTGACCTAAAAAAAAAGGTGTTAATTTATTCCGGATTTAAAAGAAATGTAAAAAGTTGGATGCTCAGTGGCGCCAGTACATTTCATCTGAAATCTATATCTCAAGATTACGTCAGGAAAACTCAAAATTAATATTCCAGGTAAGATTTAAATACAAATTAAAATAAGTTCAAATACGTTGAAAAAATTATTTTGAAAGTGAAAAAAAAAGCACAAAAGAATGAAAAAGAACAAGACAAGCACAAAGAAGAATATCCAGTTCTCAATATATATTATTTATGATTTCATGATTTCAATATTTATGATTTGACAACTGCTGCCTCTGAAATTAATATAAAACACATAATTATATTAGAATGGTACAATAAAAATATAATATTATAATAGATATACATAAGGATCATTATACAAATTGTGTCATAATTGAATAGTTCACTATATGGAATTTACTACTGTTTTACATACGTAAAGGGAAATAACTTTTATAACCTTAATCAGTAGCAATACTTTTCACAATTGTGAAGAGTTATCTTTCTTATATAACAAAATAATGAAATAATTCACCGGTTTATGGAACCAAGTCCATCTTACAACGGTAGGTCTTCAAATATAATAATAAGTATTATAAAAGAAATAAATTCCTAAAGATATATGCTATTTACAATTTCTCTAGATCTGTAACTATATGCCTGTCTTTGTCCAAGAATTCGTTAGAATTATATAAATTGATGAAACTATAGGACACCTTTCTACAACTTTCTACATGAAATTCAAACTGAATAATGTTCACTCTGAGTGTAATACATCTACTACACATACATCTGATAATAAGACAATAATTTAGTGAATGATAACTTGTTTTCTGAAGTTGAAAGTTAAGCATATTCAATAAAGAAATTGGTATCTTGGACCAATTTTGGACGACTAAAAAAATTAACTGAAAAAGATTATTTATCAGTAAGAAATTCAATAAAACAAAAGAATCAAATCTGTAAAAGATGATTTGACAACACAAGTTTTGAAAACTAAAACTTTTCCATGAAGATTTCTATTATTTTCTTTTTCTGGTTGTAAACATATATTCATAGTACACAACTTTCACAAATATGAAAATGATGATTGACCAACAAAACTAATATTTTTAACCCTAATTATGTGTTAACATGGAAACCACAGTAAGTTACAAAAAATAGCTTCAATTTCAACATTTTTCTAAATAATCTTTTAAATAATAACAAAAAAGTATACTGATATTACTTTCAACCAATTAAGATCTGACAGCTAATTATTAAAGATACGTATGTATTTAGTTTACAGAAAAGTTTAAAGCAAATCTAAATAGCAAGGCATCTGTTGTCATGGCAACACTAACATTATATCGTTTTACAGAAAGAAATTTGAGAATTATGACTTAAAGGTGCTTGGACACAGATTTGAAGTTAATATTTACTAATATTTAAATTTTCTGTATAATTTCATGACTTATATGTTGCTATATAGCATTTCATACGAAAATTTGATAAAAATCTTATTTTATCTGGAAGTTATTGAGACTTTGAATTTCTGGACGCGTTTGATAAACACATCCTTGCACTTTCACAAATTTTAACTTTATCCTTATTACTTTAGAAAAGTAGCAATTTTGTTGTTTATTAATGAAAAATATTAAAACTATAATGCAGAAATTTCAGAGTAGAAACGTAGAAAGCAAAATCCTTTTACCAGTATTGTCAGTCCGTGCTCAGTGGTGTGTGCAGAGTTTAACAATTGAACACACCCGGTGAAACGTAAACATTAATAACAACAGAGCTCGTGCCCTGTTTACAAAAACAGTTTACTTTTCACGGGTGTATTCAATTTGTTAAACTCTGTACACAACTACACAACATTGAGCAGGGGCTGACAATACTTAAGTGAGTGGGTTTTACTTTCGCGCATTTTTACTCTGAATTTTCTGGATTATAGATGTAATATTATTCATTAATACACAACAAAATTGCTACTTTTCCTAAGTATTAAGGATAAAGTTAAAAATCGTGAAAGTGCAAGGATGTGTTAATCAAATGCCACCCGAAATTTGTAGTTTCAATAATTTCCAGATTAAATAAGTTTTTAATTTTATTTTCGTGTGAAATGCTATAGCAACATATAAGTTGTGATATTATACAGAAAATTTGAGAAAATATAAACTTCAAATCTGTGTCTATGCACCTTTAGTTTAAATCTATACATATAGAATAAAATTTTAACTTATTCATATAAAACCTGCAAAAAGCTGAGCAATACAATAGGCATGATTCTTATACAAAACAGGCTTATCTATACATGTGGGTTTCAGATGTTGACAGACTACACATCATCCAGAAAGTTACATCATGTACACCTAAACAAGAGGCCCAACGGTCTTAACGGTCATCTGAGTACAATACAACAATTTAGAGGATCCATAAACTGATAAATGAAGCCTTGTTGCCCAAAAGCAAGAAAAATAGTATGATTAGCATCAACAAAATAATTGGTCTAGTATCTATCTGTCCCCCATTTATCACTATTACCATGCAGACTATTAACAAATGTCTATTTTTTTAACCCCATATTATTAACTCTCACACTGGCCTCTCTTAGCCTTTGAAGAAGATATAAAAAGAGATGTTATTTTTGTCTCATTTTTATTCATTTATTATTTCCAAGTCTACCTGATCATTAAAACTATGAAAGTACTTTTCAGATTTTCAAGAATTAATGCAATTTTACTATACAATGAATAGAGCCCTGCCCTAACACCAGAACCCCTGACCCTGGGGCCATGAAATTCACAATTCTGGAAGAGGCACTCTTGCTCATCATAACTATGTACTTATAGTTTATTTAGTATCCAGGGAGTAGAGAAGAAGATTTTCAAAGAAATAATGCATTTTCACTATATAATCAATAGAGGCCCGCCCTAACACCAGCACCCATGACCCTGGGACCATGAAATTCACAATTTTGGAAGAGGCACTCTTGCTCTTCATAACTATGTACTTAGTTAGTTTATTTAATACCCAGGAGCAGAGAAGAAGATTCTCAAAGAAATAAGGCACTTTCACTATTTGATCTATATATACCCACCCTATCACCAGAACCCCTGACCCTGGGGCCATGAATTTCACAATTTTGGTAGAGGCTCAATGCTTATTACAATCATGCCAACAGTTTGACTGCTTGATGTCCAGGAGTAAAGAAGAAGATTTTTAAAGATTGCTTTAATTTTGGTGGTTTTAGCCCCACCCCTCAGGCCCCAGGGGGGCAGGGACCATGAAATTCATATTTTTTCCCCTTCACCCATATATGCTATATGCCAAATTTGGTTGAAATTGGTTAAGTGGTTTCAGAGAAGAAGCTAAAAATGATCAAATGTTAACGCACAACGACGAACAAAAACAGATTGCAATAGGTCACTTGAGCGACTCAGGTGACCTAAAACAGACAATTCTGCTAAAGATATATTCCTAGTACATGAGTCCAAAATTAATACTGTAGGCCTTAAATAAGATGCCCAAAACGAGAAAATGAAAATGTCTCTATATGTCTGTATAAATATATATAAATGTCAGACTCTGCCGAGAGCCGAAGCAGTGAGATGAAGATTTTGTGACCCGGGCTAAGTGAAATCCAGCCTGTAGACTCCTACATGGAAGCTGTGTCAGATGACCCAAACTCAAAACTATACAAAGTCCTTCACCAAGAGAAGACTGCTAAATTGTGGAATCAGGCATTTAAAGAACAATTAAAGAAGTTTCCAGACTGTGACAGTTCACTGGACTGGAACCATCATTAGGAGGAAAAACGAGGCCTGGCATGGATCCTTTTATCCGATGTAAGAAGTGCCACTACACCAGTCAATGAGAAAAGCTTTACGAAGAGGTGAGGAGATCTGGAAGGGGATGAAGAGCTGCACAGCTAAATATGGCCATGGTTATCGGTCACTTGGGTACCAGCATTACTACAGAGGGTATGCATGGTATGCTTCTTGGTGGAAATATTGAACCAGCTTCAGCCACCCATGTGCAACAGACCTGCAACAAAGTGGGGAAATTATCATAGATGTGAATAAAACTAGTATGAAGAAAATCAATAGGGCAGAACATTCAAGAACTTAATGAACCAGTAGTCTACGTCGAGACTGTAGCCCTACTGTCTGGTTTTTACTTATAACAAAGGAAGAGAAAAGTAACTTGGACTTGAAACTTTGCATCAGCAATAAATGGAATAGTGATCCTTGATTTAGTCTCTTTTCATGGTAAGATTGCAATCAGACAACAACTGTAGAAAGAGTAGCCTTTTAAAAGAATTTTACAGAAATTTCAATTTTAGTTACCATGGCAACATCATTCATCAAAATAAGAAAAAAACGATAAAGACAATTATGTATCTAGTCTACTTGCATGCCATGTTATATCAAAATTGATATCAGACCAAACTGTAGGAGGTGTAGCATTTTGAAAGTATTTCACAGAAATTTTAATTTTGCTAACCATGGCAACAGAGTTTATATAAATCAAAAACCGATGTTTTAGTGTACTCTATTTGTGTGCCACAAATCAGACCAAAACTGTAGGAGGAGTAGAATTTTGAAAAAAAATTTTACAGACAGACGACGAATGACAGACACCTTACAATAGCATGATCTCTTCTGGTCTCTGACCAATAGAGCTAAAAATGTGGACTTCCTGATACCCCTATCAGAGGGGAAGGAGATGTTTGGTATAATAATGCCACCTTCAGTGCCACTGGAAAAACCAATTCCAAGCTGCCACCCAAGTGACTTATACTGTTAGTGAAAATGTTACTCAGAGGAAAAATGTTGAGGCAGTGTTCTGTGGGAATAAACTATGCAAGAAAGGCACACACCTGAGAAGGAAAGGCCCAGGACACGAAGACTGCACTGCAACCATTCCTCTGGAGACCACCATCGGAGATGAGAAGAGATTGGCCTCAAATTATGCATTGGTGAGTTAAAAATATTAAGTGATGACGGTCTACTAGTCATTTCCCATTTCACCAGTGATGGAGATAGTGCCAAGGCATCTGGTGCATCTGAAAAACAAGGACATGTCATTGAAAACCTTAAAGAACCTCAAAGAAAACAGACTGCTAAGGTTCCATTCAGCAGTCACATGTTTCTGAGAAGAACCAATGCCATATTAAGAGAATCCATGAAGAGAAGATTTGCTTGGACCTGAAGCTTCAGTGAAGGACAGAGCATGAGAACTGCTACACAAACTACCCGAAGAAGACTTACCTTTGATGAAACTGGCTATGTCTTCTGCTGTCTAAACGTAAACTGCTACCAGTTAAAGGGCAGTGATGAAAGTCCTGTCAACTTTATTCCTTTTTCTGTCATGGACTGAAAAGCAATAAGTGGAAATCTTCAGTGGTGCCTAGTGACTTTGAATTAAACATGACTGAGGAAGACAAATGTTTGTTAAAAGACTGTATAAATTTGACTTTAGGACTAAATAATCTTCAAGTTAATAGAATTAAGTATCATACTTGTACACAAAAGCTGAATCTGTGAATAGGGCATATTCATAATCAAATCCAAAATATATTACAAGTAGTGGAAATTTTAAAAGTAGAATACATAAAGTTGTGCACTCACTGAATAGGGGTCATGGAAATTCAACATTGGAACTTTGTGAATCTGTAGGGGAACCTGTTATAAAAGAATGTAGAGTGGTCCATCATCTAAAACAACAACAAAATAGGCAAAATGACTTTAAAATGAAACAAAAACTGTTAAAATATAGACACTTACAGTAAACCACTGACATATCCAAAATTAACAAAAGGCCCATGGGCCACAATGCTCACCTGAGTAACTTTGGCCTTGCTGTTTTTCACCTGATTTCCCCCCTTGTAATACATATTGTGGTCCCAACCTTAACCAGGGGCCATGATTCGAACAATTTAGTATCTACCCAGGATGCTGCCACTTAAGTTTCAGCCTTTCTGGCTCAGTGGTTCTTGAGAAAAAGATTTTTAAAGATTTCTTCTACATATTTCAATGCAAAACTGATTCCCTGTTGTGGCCCGCCCTACCCCAGGGGTCATGATTTCAACAATTTAGAATCTACACTACCCCAGAATGCTTCCACATAAGTTTCAGCTTTTCTAGCCCAGTGGTTCTTGAGAAGAAGATATTAAAAGATTTTTTCTACATATTTCAATGAAAAATTTGGATTCCCTTTTGTGGCCCCGCCCTACCCCGGGGGTCATGATTTGAACAATTTAGAATCTACACTACCCTAGGATGCTTCCACGTAAGTTTCAGCTTTTTTGGCCCAGTGGTTCTTGAGAAGAAGATTTTTTAATGACCCTACCCAATTTTTGTCTTTTCTTGATTATCTCCCCTTTGAAGGGGGCTTGGCCCTTCCTTTGAACAATTAAAACTCCCCTTTACCCAAGGATGCTCTGTACCAAGTTTGGTTAAAATTGGCCCTGTGATTCTTGAGAAGAAGTTGAAAATGTGAAAAGTTTACAGCTGGACGAACGGACAGACAGACGGACAATGGGTGATCAGAAAGGTCACGTGAGCTAAAAAGGAAATTGTGTTAAAAAAAGCTGTGTATGTAATTTAAATGTATGAAAGCATTTATAAATACATAGCATCTATTCTGTGAATTGTTACATATTTAAATAAAATTGCTATGTTTTACTGCATCAATGGCCAGGATATGTAAATGACGTATAATTGTGTGTGTAAAATGTGACATTTTCTTACATGGGTGAGTCTGTACATGTAAATATGTTTTTTTTCAGTATTTATCTTAATTATTTTTAGAAATTATTTTCATTAATTATCTTGTTTTTCTTACCTGTCTGACGATTACAACAAAGGTTACAGAGGTGATTGGTAGAAATACAGGTATACAGGTGTCAAAACTCTGTTAATGATGTAAGTAGTATGTACTACACAGCATCCCGCATTGTATATCCACCATTGTTGATCTTTAACAGGGGAGACTACTCCTGAAATCAGAAATATCATAGTCAAAATGAATGTCACCTGTTACTTTAATAGATGTACATAAGCATACTTTAATCCACTCATAACAATTACTGGTATATATGCTGAATACCAATATGACTTACATAGCCTTACTGTATAATGTGAAATCTGCTCCCATATCTACATGTAGCCCCACCCTTCACCGAGCTTGAATCTGCAAGACTTTGGAATGTAGATTTCTCATGAAATACAAGGTGATCCAAAATATCTGATACCATTTTGAAGGTTGATAAAACTTCCACATGGCATACATGTATAATAAAATTTAATAAAATTTTTCAAAATTGATATTTTCTATAGCATATGTCATGTACAATTTATATATTTTTTAAACCCACAATTTATGAAATAATGCAGTTATCTAAGCACACTTAATACATGAAGTCCCTTTTAAGCAAGCATGAGATAAAGTGAAGTCTCCTTCAAAGTTTGTGATCACATCACTGCACATGTCTGGAGTAACTTCTCACATTTCCCCGAGTATTACAAACTTGAAATTCTCATGGAAAGTTGGCTTTGTTCTTTAGATACCCCCCACAGATAGAGTCCAGTGAGTTTTAATGGAGAACTTCAACCCTTTGGTATACATTTTACTACATGATAAAAATAGTATCAGTTTTATGATGCCCTACAGTGCCTAATATCACATGTAGTGACATCAGTGTTTTCTAGTATTACTTGTCGATGAAAATGATAGCTGCAGCAGTTTAAAATGATGTATAAATGAAATATTACTATAATTGATGATAATTTTTTTGAGGATCAAAGTAGTATCAGATATTTTGGATCACCCTGTATATTTCAGACCTCTTGCATTTTGTTTATTATTGGCACACTAGGATACATGAGTTCATTTAAGAAATGAGTTTTATTTTAATTTGAAAATTCATCAGGACATGAACTGTGACGTTTTATGCTGGCATTAGCATTTCATAACAAATATGCATGCATGAAGCATTGTAGTTTAACCTCATGAACTTCAAAGAATTCAAATCTTATATTTACATAATTTTTCTGATGACTTGCCATAATTAAATTCTGCCATTCAACCTCGAAACAAAACAATTTACAAAAGGCCTATACTTTCGATGTCAAGTCCACTATAATGTCAGAATGTCCCAATGGAAGAGTCTAGTGGTTCTTGAAAAGGATCGAGTCAAAAAGTTTACAGATCTACAGACAGAAGGACATTTGTCAAAATATTATCAGAAATGCTCACATGAGCTTTCAGCTCAGGTGAGCTTAAAAATGCAAAGGAAAAACAATAATTATCATTTACATTTGCAAATATTTTTTTTATATGAAACTATTGAAGAGAAAATATGTTCAATTCTGTATGAACTTATTAGAGGGTCAGAGGTCACGGCCTGACCGAATCACACAGCGAGATGATATCTTGTCTACATATTTATGTTACCAGCTGGTTACGGTGACACTGGTTTCGGAACTTCTAAGCCATTAAAGCAATGAAAAAGATATAATTATTGAAACATATATTTTTTTTTGTTCAACAAATGATCATTAGATCTCTCTGCGGTGTGAAGAATGCCTTTAATTAGCCTAAAATCACCCTTACCTTTTTAACACGAAATTCCTTTGAAGGTATGTAAACTGAAGATGATACCACCGCTTTTGACTTCATATATAAAGAACTCATACAATAATAGTAAGATTATTCTCAGTAGAGATCATTGTTTTTTCATTATGAACAGATATTTCCTGAACTGGACAGCTGAACATCAATGTAAGTATTCAAATGTTGGAGCGAGGCGAACTCTCAAGACCAAACAGCTTCTAGGTCATTGCGCGTCACAACATAGCAATACGGCGGGCCGTTCGTGTAATAAATGCAGTTCTATTCAGAATATTCATCTCAAATGTAAATAAAAGTAATAAACAACAATGTTAAAAAGTTCACTGGGAAATGAACTTGGTTGATACGTGATCAAATCTTCTGAGAAGCCCTTTGGGCTTCACAGGATTTGATCATATGACCAACCAAGTTCATTTCCCAGAGAACTTTTTAATATTGTTGTTTACTTCTTAATTATACAGTGCATAATAATGTACTCACATTGTCACTAGATCCAGTTGTTTTCAGTACCACTGATACAGGTTTCGATGGGTAATTGCTTCTTTCTCTCTGTAAAAGCATAAAAAATTGATGGTGTTTGATCATGATCATAGGCTGTTATGGTACTGACATTAGGGCAATGCCAAATTGTTATAACAAACATCAATTTAACTTTGTGAAAATTTACAAAAATATTAGAGGAAATAAATTATATATGCATTTTTCTGATGGACAGAGGGAATGAAAATGCTATGAAATTGGAAGGTTTTACATGTATTTACATGTATGTAGAATATGATACAGTATCGTTTCTGTACTTCTGTTCAGGACGCCCACGTGGTGCAGTCATTAGAGCATTTGATCCAGAGTTGTGGAGTAAATCATTATGTCGCAGGTTCAAATCCCAATATGATATGTGCAGACCAGTCCTTCAGATGAGAAGACCATAAAAACCAGGGTCATATGTCGCAGTAGGTACTGGCATGAAAAAGATCCCTCACTGCTCAAAGACCATAAGTGCCCAGTACTGGTCTAAATTTGCAGCCCCCCATCATCAAGTGGTGGCATTTCAATATAATTAAAAAATTCCACCATGGACACTCATCTGAAATATGGCAAAGTGCTCGAACAATTCAAGTCTAAAAATATTTCTGAATCTCGGAAATATCCGTAGTCTACAAGCCTTGCAATGACTCCACAAGTATCCCCTACCCTGCAAGTACCCTGGATATTTCCATTTTCCTTAAAGAAGCAGGTAAATAAAGGCCTCTTTACACCCTTCCTACTTTGCACCTTTAAGCAGAATTCCCATTAATTTTAGACTTCTTAGTTTTTTTTTAGACCCTCTCTTTTCCATCTCTTCCATCAAATAACCTCATTCCAATACCATATATATCCACAAGAATTTTTATGAAAAAAAGTCAAAACCTCTATTTTTAAACTGGCAATGCTTGGCCATGGGTGATCAATGAAAATGGGGTAAAATTAGTAAACTGTTACCTGATAAAGACTCTGACCTGGATTGATTTTCATAAAACTTGGTACAAAATCTTCTACAGCCATTATACGACACATCATTGTGAAATCTCATTGCATTTGTCATCTGAACAGCAGAGTTATGGCCCTTTGAAGTGACGTGCAGGATCTCCTGATAACAGAGGATGAAATGAGCATCAGACACACAATGGACAATTTTGAAATGCTCACATATCACATACGCTGCAGTAAATTTTTCTTATCAATTTTTATTTATAATTGTATAAATATCCCCTCTACTTAATTCTGATAACAACTTTGATCAAGAATATAGATAAATACTCTTAAGATTTTTTTTGAAAAATTACCCCCAATTATGGTGAAATTCTTTTAAAATTGTCATATATAAAATACATATAATGAACACAGAGAGGATGATGGAGGTAATTATTCTAACAATACAACTTCACTGGTAAATACCAGTTCTGAATCTAACATCATGCACTGTGCTGCACTCAACAAAAGTAGGAATTTCTGGAAAATACTCGCTGGCCAGTGTTAATTGTCAGTCCAATTCTCCTGAGTTTGCCTTATTCCAAGAAATCCATCAAGGCGGTCTTTGCTGCAAAACATCAGCATCAAACATGGCCCTAGCATATGCCCTTCAGGAAACTTCACTAGGGACAGAGAAGGCTAAATAATTCCTGAGCTGCCTGGACATTCTGCCTCACACTAAGGCCTCTCTCCAGAAGCTCCTTTTCAAAATAAGCAAAAATATTTTTTTTACAAACCTAAACAAATAAGATATGCATCAAAAGATACAGAAAATGTAAAAGATCAACAAGACCCGAAGCCAACCAGAAGATGTCATGAAATCTCAACAGATGACCTTTATAACAGTAATCATGATTAATTGCAATACCCCTTAACAGAATGCTAGTATACACTTATTTCACGACTACAAGGGGAACAGTCAACCTGATGTCCCGAGGTAATGGGGAAGACCTGGGAAACTGTTGCCCGAGGACGAAGGCCAAGGGCAATAGTTTCCCAGGTCTTCCCCATTATGGAGGGACAACAGTCTGACTGTTTCCTGAGTTGTCGTGAAATAAGTGTTTTATTACCTAACCTACTATATAATTTCTTAAAGTAATGATATAGACACATCGACAAAAGTATGCATTATTTCTTAGTGTTATCATGCCCTAATAAATATTGATGTATATATGTATTGTTTAATAAAAAACATAAGATGACTTGAAGGTTTAAATATAGCACGCTGAGTCGAACGTTTTAAAAGGCAAGGATCTACAGAGAGTGAAAGGGGCCTACATTTTTCCAAAAATTACCCTCAGAAAAGGTGTTCTTGTCCTCTTCTTTCAAATGATGTTAAATTGAATCTCTATTTATATGGGTATCAGGATTACTCTTCAAATCATAATCTCAAATTTATTGCCATGAAAATGCTTCAATTTATACATAATTCAATATTATAGCTGTAAAGTACGGGAAATTAATCATGACGTCATAATGGATTAGTTCAGCCATGCAACAGTATTCAGTTGTTGACTGGGGTAGAGGGAAACAGACAGTCAATCTGTTGGACCAGAGTGCAAGCTGTTGCCCAAGGCCGCAGGCAACAGCTTGCACTCCGGTCCAACAGATCGACTGTTTCCCGAGACTCCTGTCAACAATTGTTTTGTTACACTCCTACTAAATCAAATTCATAACTTAAAAGAAAATAAAACTGTCCCGAAGAAGATGTAGTGATAAGTCCAGAGTCTCCAGATATTTTCAGATTTCTGGATTTCATCCTCTTTCGCCGCAGCAAAACG